GAGCATTATGAGTTTTAGTCATATCATTTGGAGTAATTAATACCCCAACAGTCTTCATGGATTTGATGAATATGATATTTATGAAGTATGTGGACCAGTTTTTGATAATTTTTATAGATGATATTTTAATTTATTATAAATTTGAGAATGATTGATCTAGTAGACAAGTTAGCACAAATATATGTTAGAGATATTATCATATTATGTGATGTGCTAAAGGTAATTGTATATGATCATGATGGCCGATTTACCTCCAGATTATAGAGAGGTATTCAAGAAGGATTGGGTACAAAATTGTACTTTAGTATGACATTTCACCCGCAGATAGACATGTAGTCTGAGAGGGCTATTCATGTACTGGAAGATCTTATAAAACTATGTGTTCAAAATATTAGGGGTAGTTAGGAGGATCATATTACTTTAATAGATTTTATTTATAACAATAGTTATCAATCCAACATAGCTATGACCTCTTATTAAGCTTTATAGTTTATACAATGAGAAGTGCGAGACCCCTTATCTTTGATAGGGGTGGGTGATAAGCAGGTGATAGGGTCATGGCAACACTATATCAATGATCCATTTGATCAAAGAAAGGTTGAGTTCTAAACAGGACAGACATAAAAATATTATAATAAAAAATATAGATTGTTTGAATTTCAGACATGCATTTTTTTATTTTAAAATCAGCTCTATAAAAGGTGTTAGAAGATTTGAAAGAATCAGTAAGTTGAGTCTAATGTACATTAGATATTTTGAGATTATTGAAAGGATTGTGATTCTGCTTATAGGTTATTTTTGCCTAATCATACACTACAGGAAATTCAGTTAAAACTGCGGTTTTTTCCGGCGGCTTTACTGGTAAAACGGGCGGTTTTCAAAAAAACCGACGGTTCGCGGCGGTTATCATGCCGCCGGTTAAAATGGCGTAGGAAACCATTGCCGGCGGTCTTTTTCTTGCGGTTTAATTCTCCGACGGCCTTCCGGCGGCTTATACCGCCGGTTATTACCGATTTTGGTACCGGCGGTAATATTGAGGTCCGGCGGTTCATCCGGCAGTTACATGACCGCCGCTAGTTCCGGCGGCTTTAACTTGAATAACCACCGGTTAGGCCGTCGGTAATAACCGGCGGCGAAACTGCCGGCGAAACCGCCGTTATTACTGGCGGCCATATAACCGCCAGTCAAGGCCGCCGGTAACAGCTGAATTTCCTGTAGTGATATGCTAGACATACATAGTGTACTTCTTGTATATTCTCTAAGGATGTGAGTATCCAATTTTTGGAGTACCTTATATGTTGATGATGTTGAGGTTTATCGAAATATGCTCTATAGGAAAAAGCCTGATAGTATTCTGGCATACGATGTCAAGAAATTGAAAAGTAAATATATTATGATGGTCAAGATGCAGTTGAAACACGTGATCTCCAGAGTAGCAACTTGGGAGAAGGAATATGAGATGAGATAGCTATATAGAGATTTATTCTAACTTATTTTGATTTATAAATATCGATGTCATATTTTTCTGAGAATGGGAGATTTGTGAGATCTCTAGGATCATAGTACCATTCAAATTAGTCTAACATGACTAGAAGTCAATTAACCTATTGAATTTCTATATTTGAACTCTCCTACATTTGTTTGAGAATGATCTATATGTATGAAAAAATGTTTGCATGTGTTTTGGAGTGGGTTTCAAGGATTTAAATGCATGTTTGTCAAATATGGAAATTTCCCCTGAAGGGCCCTGGTGCTGTGTTTTTTGGCACCTCGACGCGAAATTAATACCTAGCTATGAATTTTTGAAGGAGCACCTTGGAGTGCCGCGGGGCACCTAGGAGCATCGCGTGGTGCCTTGGCACCATCCCAAAATTTTATATTAAAAATATCCAATTCCATTATTCCATTCGATGCATTATTGTTTGGGAAACTTCCAATTGAGAGAGAGAGAGAGAGAGAGAGAGATTTTAGTAAAAGAAACTCCATTTTGGGCTGATTCGGGTCATTTTCAGCTGTCAGTATAATTCAAAAAATTACTCTGGTCGAGATAGTTTACATTTTTTCTACCTCGATCAGTTTTTAATAATTTTGTATTTTTGACATTTTTTGATCGAATATATAATTTGGTTTTACAAAAATACAAATTTATCTGATTATGATAACTTTTATTCCTGTAACTTTTGATGTGTTTTTGCTACGACTATTCTGGTCATTTTGAATATTTACTCGAGATTTTTTGTCGGACAATTTGAAAAAATGGTGATTTTTATCAATTCAGAAATTTGTTTTAACATATAAAAATAGTGTTTTCAGAACGTTGTATATACAATCTCTAATAATATGGTGAAACTATGAAAACTTAAGAAGGGATTTTGTTGGCGAAGAGAAATGATTCAGTTAGTGGTGAGATAAGATACTATTATTAAGCATGCTGATATAAATTTATTCCACACAACACAAATTGTACGTCAATATGCATACCAAACGACAAAGTTTCCCAAACTTATATACAATTAAGTGCCTGTGATATATAACAATGATGATTTAGATTATAATGTTACGAGAGAGTTAGTAATGATTGAGCATAAATATGTGTATTATTCCCCCATTGCAGCATTTGAAGCACTAATTATGTAACAATGTTAATCACTACGTACATAACCATCAACAATTATAAGACATAATAAAAAAATATACTTAATTAGATCAGAATTTTAATGATCTTCACACTTAATAAATAATATGATCATCATCAATTAATAAGTTCATAAATCATAATATAAGCTAGCTAGGCAATTCCGGTTATTTGGGTAAGCTATTAATTAATTTTAACAACTAGCTAACGATAAGCTCATTTAAATTTACAATCATATTCCTATATAAATATCTAGAGATTATTTAATGAACAAAGTAACTATTAATAGAATAATTTAACTGAATAATTAGTTTAGTTTTTCCTAATTCTTATATGAATTTAGAACTTGTAAACTAATTATTTAATTAATTATGCGCGCGCGCACATGATGAGTCTGATAGCAATTTATTTATAAGCTTTGCTATTTGTATTTTGCTTATTGCTTATATAGCTCAAAATATAGCTTTTCCGGCAGCGTACAACCATCGGTCCGAACCTTTATATATAGGGATCAAATGAAGATTTTGACACATGAAGCCTTGAGTGTTCAACTTTTATATGTTATCAATCTAATAAAATCTGATGGTTTCTCTCTCTAGATTCTCTACCCCCCGATCCTATTGTTTTTATCCACGAAGATATTTAGGTCCAAAATCCTCCAATGGTCAGTGAGTATGGGCTAATAAAATGAATTAGAATTCAAGAATTTCAAACATTGGAGAAACAAAATAAGAGAGAATAGGGAAAATCAAATTTGGAGGAGTTAGTGAACTTAACTTTTTTTTCTTTTTGTTAAAATAATAATAACAACTAACTTTAGGTTAGAGAGTTGACACATTAGATACTTAGATCAATATCGGAGAAACTTATTTTTACCTGAGTACTCAACTAATTAAGATAAACAAACTTTAAGCTTTTATGATTATGTTGAATTTTTTATTCCTTTTGTTATCATATAGAAATGAAAAATGCAGATTTCAAAAACCATAAGATTCCCAGATATACATATAGTCTTATGCTTAATGATATTGCCTTTCAGGTCGAGTAAACTCTAATAATTGAACTAGGTCAAAATTCAAGCATTGCATCCAAGACATTTTTATGTAATTTGGACATGGAGTGTAGCCCTAGAATTCATACTCATGCATTTGTCACATTAACAAATTTGACTAGAGAAAGAGTCCATTATAGTTGGCTACACGCCAATTTATTGACAATAAGCTATTAATAAGCCTTGCTATGCAAATTTTGTTTTTGTAGCGCAAAACATAGGGCCTCAATAAGAGATTTTGATGCATGAAGTCTTAGATAGGCACTCAACTCTTGTATTCTTGTCATCTTGTGAAATCTAAGAACTTCTGTCTTTCTCTCTCTCACCCTTTCTTGCTCTATGCCATCTTGTGGATCTTATTAGTAAGGTTTCAATATTGCCAATGAATAAATTTGGATGAGAGAGAGAGAGATCTTTTTAAATTCTCTCTTGCTAAAAAATTAATTAATATTGGGATGGGCTTGTATTTGAATTAACCCAACATCAGGATAAAACTTTGCCATTGACCATATATTATTAAAAAAATAGTTGAAACTTAATTTCCACATAAAATAAATTAACCGGAGGTCTCCGATTGTTTACATTCAATATTTTACATGAATATAGATATAATCCTTATCATTAATTTTGAACCATCTTATCAATGGAATCAATATTCACTCAAGATCAACCATACACTAAGAATCAAAATGGATATCATTATTTTAACACATTATTTCATCCTAAAATTGAATATTTGTACTTAAACTTTTAAATTATTATATTAAATCAAGATTTGGGCATCATATGGATGTTTCCAATGGAGAGTTAGCCGTTGGATCTTTTGATCTCAATAAAATACCTCTATCATTTAATCATACCTTCTTCAATATTAATCACAATGCCTTCTATGCTGACCCTAATATTCTGATTATCACAAGAACATGATCCAACACAAATTTTGATGATAATTTGTTCTCTTTTTCCCTCTCTAATATATCAGTGGATTATAATGCTCTCGGTTAAAAAAGAGATCAGTTCATCGCTTCTTTTAAGGATAAGGATGATGTGTTCTATTCTCCATCATTGCCCCTAACTTTTATAAATATCACTTTTTTCAAGGTTAGACGAGCTTCTCCTCTTATTTAAACTGTAACATAATCATATGAGTTTTTTTTTTCCTCAAGCTCAAATACTGATTTCGGCTTCAGAGTTGTAGGTGGAACAAAAATAACTTTTTTTTTTCAAGCTTAGATAAATACTTTTCTAGCTTATTCAATACCACAAAATATGAAGTAACTTAATAAATGATCATTTTGCCTTCGTTTTTCATAGGAAATTGTTGTAGCTGGAACAGATACAACTTCAAATGCAGTGGAATTTGCCTTGGCTGAAATGTTAAATAGAGTTGAGACCATGAAAAGAGTTCAAGATGAGCTTGAACATGTAGTAGGGAAGCATAACATTGTTGAAGAACATCACATCGACAAACTTCCCTACCTAAATGCCACAATCAAAGAGGTGCTCCGCTTGCACCCGACGGTGCCATTACTAGTTCCCCACCGCCCAAGCTCCACATGCACCGTCGGCGGTTATATGGTACCTGAGGGAAGCAGAGTCTTCATCAATGCATGGGCAATTCACAGAGATCCTGCAATATGGAAAGAGCCACTAGAATTCAAGCCTGAGAGATTCATGAATACAATTCATGAGAGGAAGTGGGATGGAAATGGAAACGACTTCAATTACTTGCCATTTGGATCAGGAAGAAGGATTTGTGCAGGGATAGCCATGGCTGAGAAGATGCTTGCTTACTGTCTCGCGTCACTGCTGCATTCCTTTGATTGGAAATTAGAGGAGGGAAAGAAGCTTGATCTCTCTGAGAAGTTTGGTATTGTTCTCAAGAAGGCTGAGCCATTGGTTGTAATTCCTGTAGCCAGGTTGTCAAACCCCGACCTTTATTATTAGGTATTAATGATTTATGTATGGTCTCTTGAGTGGGTGTTTCATCAAATTACATGAAATAATGGCGTTATGAACTCATTTACATGAGTAAATATATATATATATATAAAGGTTTTAGTAGTTTAATAATGTACGATAATTTTTGTTATTTGTACATGTGAAAATATGTGATGAAAATTATTGTATTATGTATGCACCTCTCTACCCTAAAGATTTCACGGCTATGGCGAGCACACGCACACCATTTTATTCTTCGCTTCAAGGATCGGATTACCATCATATAACTTCATATCATGACAGCATCATACTGACTATTGTTTATTATATGGGCATGCTTGCTCATGTTTATGATTCAAATATTTTGATTTAAAAATTATGTAAAATTTTACTTTTGGTCTAGTATATTTTTTAGTACTTAAACAATATGTTTCGTAGAAGTCAAAGCTTTTTATTTTTGGCAGGGTAAAATTGCCAAAACCCTCATATAGTGTGGTAGTGGCAGAGCCAGAAAATTTATTGAGGGAGGAGGACCTAAATTATTTTATTAAAATTTTCCCTCAATTTTTTTCATCCGGGCTTAGGACTGGCATAGATAGTTTTAAAAATTTTTATATAAAAATAAATTACTAAATATAAAATAAAGTACACTTACAATTTATGCATTCTATTCTTCATGTTTTGAAATAACTGAATAATAATATCATTGTCAATACAATCTAAAATTTCTTTTTCAATGTAAGCGGTTAAAGTATCATTCATCCACTGATCTCTAATTCGATTGCGTAGTCGATTTTTTATGATGTTCATTGAAAAAAAAAATGCTCTTTCAACTCCTGATGTTGTAACGGGTAGTACTAATGTCAATTTCATAAGCATAAAAATAAGGGGATATAGCATTTCCTTTCTACTATGAATCATTTTTTCAGCAAGACTTCATATATCTTTTAATGATGAAAATTATACATAAAACTGTATATCCATAATATAAATTTCCAGATGATTGTCAAGAATTATCAAATCAGAATTAGTGAAATCACTGGGATATAAGTTTGCCATTTTAATTAATTTTTCTTTGTTGAATGCACAGAACGAATTCGATAGTTTCAAACAAGCAATACACAAAAGTAATTCAGCATTATATTCTTTTCCTCTTCCTTCTACCCCAAAGAGATAACAACACAAACAATATGCTTTATCCTTCTGAATACTATACTCTAACTAACTAGAGTATCTATCAAATCATCTCAGATTGAAACGTCTATCTTTCATCTCAAACTTAGTTTTAGATCGAGAAGTCATGATTGCGAGGCTAACATGGTCTTTTTTGCAAATATGATATGCGAATTTGATCATGAATATTAAAACTAAATTCTGAAATAGGGATACGTAATCCAGGATTTGATTGAAGATTCTCTAAATCTATTATCATGTTTTTTAAAGATTCACCATCAGCTCGAAATATTTTTTTGTTTTGCTCATCAACCTTATTTTCTGAATTCCCTATTGGTGTTGATACTCAAGATTGTGAGGATTTTTTAAAATATTTCTCCATAATGTTTGTGCAAGTTCAAATTTGAGAACTACATAAAACATAAAAATTACAAACAAAATATAAAATTAAGAACGAAGCAGCAAACAATTTTTTTTTGTTTTCCCTAAAAAAGTAAACAGTCAACTACAATAGGTATTAAAATAAGAAAATAATATATCAAACAAATTGAGATTCTTTTTTTTTTTTTTTGTTTGTTATTCTAAACAAGTAAACAATAAACTACATTGCGTACTGAAATAAGAAAACATAAAACAGTAAACTACAGTAAATTTTAACATAATATTGAGATTTGAGATTAAATCAAACAAGTTCAAGGCATGATTTTTTTTATCCGAAACAGTAAACAGTAATATTGAACACTAAAGAGTATACAATAGTAAATAATTTTCTTTACTTAGGGAAAAAATCTATAACCAAAAGACAAAATATAGAAAAAAAAAAGAGAGAGCTTACCGGTGCGGCTGTGCAGCTCTAGAATTTTTTACTTAGGGAAAAAACTGCATAGGTATTGTTGCGGGCTAGAAAATACGCGGCGATATAGATTTAATTTTGCGTCTTAGCGTTGCACGTATAACTAGCACACACAGAGAACACAAGATTTTTTACGTGGAAAACCCTTAAAAGGAAAAAACCACAAGGCCTAGCCCAGTTGAAAATAATTCCACTAGACTTTGAATTGGTTACAAAGAGCTGAATCACCTCCAAGAGTGATCAGATTACAATCAAGTATTTAAGTGAGACGTCGGGTCTTTGGCAGGACGTAAGGACTGATCGTCGGGTCTTCGGCAGGACGTAGGGACCGAGTGTCAGGCCTTGAACTGAACGTCGGGTCTTCCACAGGATGTAAGGACTTAACGTCGGGTCTTCGGCAGGACGTCGGGTCTTATGCAGGACGTAAGGTCTTCAGCAGGACGTCGGGTCTTCGGCAGGACGTAGGGACTGAACGTCGGGTCTTATGCAGGACGTCAGGTCTTCAACAGGACGTCGGGGTTGAACGTCGGGCCTTAAGGTGGTGGTCCGGCGAGGTTCTGCGGTGGCCCGGCGGTGGTCCGGCGAGGTGCTGACGGTGGTCCGGCGGCTGTCGGGGAGGAGTTCCTTCCTTCTCTTCTCCCTTCTCTTCTCTTCTTCTCTCTCTTGCTTGGATCCCCCCTCATGAGAAATGAGGGCTATATTTATAGATTTTCTAGAGTGGCATGGCCCATAAATAGGCGTGAGATCAGGGGCGAATGGGGAGTGGTCAAATGGACGGACGATATTGAATCCTACAATCGTGCACCGTTCGTTGGACATTTTAAGGCCTTAATAATGCGGACTCATTTGGGCTCGGATTGGGTTGATCTTGGTGTCGTTGGGTTCGTATTTCCGAGACGCTCAGTTTGACTGTAAGCTCGCTGAAATCAGAGTTTGGGTGCTCCCAGAATTAATTTTTGAAGTTTCCCACTAGCTTTTGCCTCGAGATTCGTGCCCGATCAAGCTAATTTTTTGATGCTGTATCAGTTGCCCCATCCCTTTTCTTCTTCTGCTTTCTTCTTCTTCTCCCTTGTTTTTACTATTGAGGCCTTCCCTCGATTTTTGAGGCCCCTCTCTTGCAAGGAAGTCCGAAGATTCCCCCTTCTTCTCTCTCCCTCTGTCCTTACTATTGAGGCCTTCCCTCGATTTTTCGAGCCCCTCTCTTGGCAAGGAAGTCGGAGATCCCCCTTCTTCTCTTCTCCCTCTGTCCTTACTATTGAGGCCTTCCCTCGGTTTTCGAGGCCCCTCTCTTGGCAAGGAGTCCGGAGATTCCCCCTTCTTCTCTTCTCCCTCTCTCCTTACTATTGAGGCATTCCCTCGATTTTTCGAGGCCCCTCTCTTGGCAAGGAAGTCCGAAGATTCCCCCTTCTTTCCTCATCTCCCTCTGTCCTTTCCGTTGAGGCCTTCCCTCAGTTTTCTGAGGCCCCTCTCTTGGCAAGGAAGGTCCAAAGATTTTCTTCTTCTTCTTCTCCCTCTGTCCTTACTATGAGGCCTTCCCTCGATTTTTCGAGCCCCTCTCTTGGCAAGGAAGTCCGGAGATTCCCCTTCTTCTCTTCTCCCTCTGTTCTTACTAATTGAGGCCTTCCCTGATTTTTCAGGCCCCTCTCTTGGCAAGGAAGTCCGGAGATTTCCCTTCTCTCTTTTCCCTCTGTTCTACTATTGAGGCATTCCCCTCGATTTTTCGAGGCCCCTCTCTTGGCAAGGAAGTCCGAGATTCCCCTCTCCCTCTTTTCTTGAGAGAATCTTGTGGAGTTCCGATGTTTGGTAGAAGTACGAAGTCGGGTAGAGGTGCAGCGCTCAGGTACAAGACCGACGAGTCCATCGACGGGCAAAAGTCTGACGACGATTAGTAGTCTGACGGCAAGCAGAAGCCCGTAGTCGGGTAGAATACAGCCTTGGGCAGAGACCGATGAATGTTCGTCGACGAGCAGAAGTCCGACGACGAGTAGAAGTCCGACGACAGGGAGAAGTCTGACGTCGTGTAGAAGACGCCTCAGGCAGAAGACCGATGAAAGTTTGTGGATGGGCAGAAGTCCGACGACGAGTAGAAGTTCGCTAACGAGCAGGAAGTTCGACGACAAGGAGAAGCTCGATGTCGCTTGTAGAAGTACCGCCTCGGGCAGAAGACGGATGAAAGTTCTCGACGGGCAGAAGTCTGATGACGAGTAGAAGTCCGCTGACGAGCAGAAGGTCCGACGACAGGGAGAAAGTCCGACGACAGGAAGGAATTCTGGCATCAGGTTATAGTCCGTCGAAAGTCTTGCAAGGCAAAAGTTCAGCGACATGAGGAAAATTCAAAATCCGGTAGAATTTAACATTGTGGAGAAGTCAGATGTAAGTCCATTGACGACATTCTGGCGATGTTAACCAAGGATGTAAGACCTATCCGAGGTTGTATGCGAGAGCCTTTGCTCTTCCGAGGTTATCCACCAAGGATGTGAGACCTTTCCGAGGTTGTATGCCGGAGCCCTGCTCGACGATATTAACCTGTGTGGAAGAGGTCGGGAGAATCCACCAAGGATGTGAGACCTATCCGAGTTTGTATGTCGGAGCCCTGCTCGACGACGTTAACCTGTGTGGAAGAGGTCATGAGAATCCACCAAGGATGTGAGGAACCTTTCACGAGATTGTATGCCGGAGCCCACTCGATGGCGTTAACTTGTGTGAAGAGGACGGGAGAATCCACCAAGGATGTGAGACCTTTCCGAAGGTTGTATGCTGGAGCCCTGCTCGACGGCGTTAACCTGTGTGGAAGAGGTTGTGAGAATCCACCAAGGATGTGAGACCTTCCTGAGGTTGTATGTCGGAGCCCTGCTCGACGGCGTTAAACCTGTGGGAAGAGGTGGAAGAATCCACCAAGGATGTGAGACCTTTCCGAGGTGTATGCCGGAGCCCTGCTCGACGGCGTTAACCTATGTGGAAGAGGTCGGGAGAATCCACCAAGGATGTGAGACCTTTCCGAGGTTATATGCCGGAGCCCTGCTCGACGACGTTAACCTGTGTAGAAGAGGTTGGGAGAATCCACCAAGGATGTGATCATCTGTTGACTGAGCTACAATAATTATTATGTA